CTTAAATGTCATTTCTTGGGAGAATGCTGACAACATCAGGCAGATTGTTTCCAGACTTCCAGAAGGCAGAAGTGTCACAGTACTGACACATCCAGCATTGTCATGGGCACACCAGAACAGCAGTGCCAAATGACATCTTGAAAAATCTTAAAAACTGTCTTGGCCTAGTCCCTACTGCTGAATCACTGCCACTAGTGTTGGTCTGAAGCAAAGGAAAGATGCATTTGTGCCACCACTGTTTCACCCATCTATTCAGTAACTGGGATGTGACCCACTGCAGGTAATGGTGATTATCACGGGGGCTCTACTCACTTATTAGTGATAGTTTTTGTATCTTTCACATTAGGCTTTTGGAAAGTCTTCTCTTCTCTTCAAAATTTTTGCCAAATTGTTTATGAGGCATTTTCCTACAAGCGCTTTGGGTTGCTTTGTTGAAAAACAATGTTATTGCCCAAGAAAATTTCATCAAGAAAGGCAGAACTGTTTACTCTCCATTACAAGAGAAATTCCTAGGCATTCTTGGCACACACTTGAATTATGAAAGTGTCTCATGAGTAATTTACCACTATTGGCAAAGATGCAAAGTAATTCTCTTGCCATATATGACAATGCACACTATTTCCTTTTCCAATCACAAACAGAATTGTCCAGTAAACACATTCAGTGAAAAGTTATTATTACAGTGTACCTTATGTAGTCTCAGCTTAAGGAAACAGCTAGAGCTGTATGACCACCAGCTAGCCTCAGTTAACTGAGGACATACTACACATGACTTTTTAGGAACAGATCTAGTTTAAGCAGTGCCTTGGAAGCGCTCCACCTTGGCCCTGGTGACAGGTTGATCATGCTCAAAACAGATCTGAGAAATTATCTAATTAAAACCCTGGTACCTAATACCAGCCACAAGTTCCAGCTTTGAAGGTAGGCACAAGACAGCATATTAGGTGATGTGAGAAATGTACAGCTGGAATGAGAGCTGCCACTGAAGACATCATGACCCGAAACCACGTTTTGAACAACACCAAACCTCTCTTCTTTAGTATGTTATATGTACCCAAATTACTTCATCTTATACAAGGACTTCTTGTTCTATGACAACATGCTAGAAGGCCAGGTAAAAAGTGAACTCCTCTCTTTATGTCCAATATTCTCCTAGTTAAAAGCTTTAAACAAACACAAACCCTGTTTTTAAAAGAAGCATCAAAATTAACTATTTGTCGCTGAGCTCCTTGGTTATACCCTTCTGTGAAAATATACCAGGGATTAGAAGTATTGCACAGCATAAGGCAGCTCCATGCCCCAGGAGGCCACAATAAGAAAGAAATATTGGACTCTGATGTTCTGCTTCTGAGTGCCTTTGCTTGCTGAAAGAGCAATTTAGAGGAAAAATGTTCTTGATGTTCTCCATAATAACCTGAACTTAAACCTACTCAGTTCCTTAACAGCCCTAAATGGCCTGCTGTTATTAATTTATTCAGAAATACCTTTTCTGCTTGTTTATGTGGGTTTGTGTGCCCATGTATCTGGTATTTTAATGAAAGTAGCCTGTGAAAAATTTTGTACAGCACCATCTACAAGAATATCCAAGATCTTTTACCCTTTCTGAAACATCCTCTTTCATAAAGAATGTTTCAAGTATACAGAGGAAATTAAATCAATTACTTCAGGTGAACTAAGTTCTTAGATTTAAATTATGTCACATTTCACTGTCGCCAAATGGTGTGTACCTAACTCTTTTGAGCTCAGACTGTGTATAATCTAAATACTGAGGAAAACTAAACAATATGACCAATAAACTGACTCATCAATTCATGTGAAATTAAATTCTGAACACTCAGGAAAATTAAAGAGGTAGGATTTTAATAAAGAATTTTCTTTAACATATTTTGAAGCTTCTTCCCTTGTGCCTGTGATGGACTTCCTATTCCCATTCACCTGCTTGCCTTTCTTTCTAGTATCCCAGAAAACACAGTTTCATTTCCTCTGCAGCAATCTATGTCACAGATTTTTCTTATGAAATCAACACACTAAAATACTTGAGCATTTAATGACAATTATTTCCTTTCATAGAAACATTAGGGAACTATTATTTTGAGAAAACTTCAAACTCAAATTTGGCTGTGGATTTAAATTCCTTTGCAGGGAGGGGGAAAACCCCACCTTTTTTTGAAAGGTTAGCTCAAAGAGTATCCTACTACATAGCAGAAACATGGTTTCAAAAGACAGATATCCCCCTTTAAGACATTCCTTTTAGAGCTTTCTCTACTTCCATTTCACTGAGAACTAAAGCGAGCTGTTGAACATAATTTCCATCAATGTCTCAGAAAACTAAGTGGACAGGACATCAGGGAATAACCTTGTCAATCACCATATTATAAACCACAAAAAAGTCCTGGTGGGATTTTTCTTCTTACTTTTTTTTCTTAAGTCTCTAGTAAGTGAGACATTCAGTGTTTCTTGTTTAAGGAATTGCTTCTAATAGGTGCTATGGCACTAGAAGTTTTTCCTTAGTTTCCAGGAGGAATGTGAAGCAAGCAAGATTCCGGTTCAGATGGTGAGGTTTTTGATGGCACTGCACAGCATTAATTAAGTTCCTCTCAGGCTGATTACACCTGTAAGTTAATGACCTGCCATTATCACACTGGGAGAACTCATCAGTACCGCTCACATCCTTAGATATGTGCATATCTTTACTAAGCTTTAACAGTCTCATTTGACTTCTAACAGAGGCAAAAATCATACACCGTTATTTACTTGCATGATTGGCTTTGAAAGTATGAAATATTGAATTATTAAAATGGCACGTTTTTTAAAGTATGCTCAAATCACCAAATGTGCCAAACCCCCACTCAAGTATTAAAAAAAAAAAACCACTTCTCACTAAAGTTTTATTATACTTGCAACTCAAAAGTAAATCCTGACTCATATTTTACCTTTCAAATACTTCATAGTAGTCCCTAAACTCCAATCCTGGTCCATCTGACCAGCATATCAGTAATCCTATTATAGTCACACACACAGTGTGTGTGCAAGTATGTCAGTGAACATTATTCTGAAAAGAGTCCAGAGCTGTTCTAGATCCACCTGCCTTCCATCCACCCCAGTCTCACCATCAGGCTACAGAAAGACAATCTGCATGTGCCCAGCAGCACATTAACCCATCTAATCCACCAGCCTGTTGCTAACACACTGACCCTCAGGCACACGGAGTCCTGTATCCTTCAGAGAGTTTTCTGAGGCTGCACCTGGGGGCCACACTTGCAAATTAGTTCTGTGGAAGGACAGCAAATCCGCCTTGAAAACAGCCTCAGGGCATCCCTCAAAATTGAATCTAAAAAGAGCCAACATGATTCCTTGCAGCAGTAACAGTAACCTCATGAGAATGCACTGTTTGACCGTGGCCTGTATGAAATGCTCCTCCTCAGCTAAAACTTTTAGATTTTGCTTTCTCACCAAAGCAATCCTGAGACTTGAGTTTAAATTCCTAGTAACACGTTACTGGGGGAGGGAAGAAATAAATATGGAAAAATAGCTATAGTCCTGATAATACATTTTAATTAGCTACCTTTTGCAGGGAAACTTCTCCCTAAGATGATTCAAGATCTTGGGAGTTTAATGGTTTAATGTCCCAAATGAAAATACTTCCTCCACCTTCTAAATATTTAACCTTCATGACAACATTTATTTACATAATATACTTAATTAGACAAACGTCCTTGGATTTATTATCTTGGATTCAAGGATGTCTGTAGCTTTTCAGTAGCTATCATGCATTTTAAAGCAGAATAAATTTCATGGTACATATCAGCTGAGCTGGACTAAGCTGACTACTTATTAATGTGCTCACACAGTTTAAAGAGACGACAGATTATTAGCTGTATTGATCTAATATGTTCATAACTAATGTTTGAAAAAAGTTCTTTAGAAGTTATTACCATTACTGATACTCCATCCCTGGAAGTGTTCAAGGCCAGGCTGGATGGGGCTTTTGAGCAACCTGGTCTAGTGGAAAGTGTCCCAGGCCATGACAGGGTAGTTGGAACTGGGTGATCTTTAAGGTCCTTCCAAACCATTTTAAGATTCTGTTTGGGATCACCTTTGTGCCTAATTAGGTTTGTACTAGGCAAATATATTGTTTTGAGAATACTCGCATCACATTCAACTCAAAAACAGATATAAGCAAAGCCATGCAAGATGTTCCCTGGTTTCATGCAACTCTAAATCTTGTATTTTTTTTACATAACTTGGGTGTTTCCCCCCCCCCCCATTTTACTCATGCTCCACTCTAAAATATTTTTTATAATACAATTCCAGGCGCTTTGCAGGGAACGCAACCCGCCCATCCGAAACAGCCCCTGCAGTAAAACTTTGGCAGACTCCTGAGGTTCATTAGCGATTTTCCCCGGAGAAGCAGCACGCCCGGAGACACCCACCCAGCCCTTCACAGGCAGAACATCCTCGCAAGCCCGGACCGCGCCCGGGTCCCCGGGTCCCGGCTTCCCAAGGCTCCTCCCCGGGCACCCCCGGGCAGGCGGCGGCGGCCCCGGCCCCCCCCTCCCCCGCCCCCTCGGGATCCAGTGTCGCTTATCGTGAAGGGTCAGCTATTTATATTTATAGCTCAGGGCTTTTTCTTTCCGAGTGGCATTTGGAGGCGCAGCCGGGGAGGGTCGGAGGGGGGGTGTGGGGGACACACGGCTGCCCACCGGGACAGGCTCGCACCCCGCCGCCGGCTGCGGGAGAGGGAGCGGGGAACCGGGAGCGGGGAGGGAGGAGACCAGCGGGAGCGAGGAGCAGCAGAAGAGCGAAGAGCGGCGGGCAGGCGGAGGGAAACAAGGCTGGAGGGAGGAAAAGGGGGAGCAGCAGAAGGCAGAGGGGACCCGCACGGCGAGGAGGGCGCCGGGCCGGGGGGAGCTGGGGGAAAGCGGGAGCCGCAGGGAGCACGGAACGCAGGGCGGGAAAGCGCCCAGAGAGCGGTTGATAAGAGCCGGCCCGGCACCCACCTGGCACCGGCACACAATGTCCGACTCGGTGGCCAGCAGGTCGACCACCTTGCCCTTGCCTTCGTCCCCCCACTGCGCCCCCAGCACCACGGTCACTTTGTTACCGCCCGGCTCGCTGCGCGCCCGCTTCAGCCCGCCGCCGGCGGCGGGGTGGCTGCTGCGGTCGTTGGACGCCCGGGTGCCCGACATGCTGTGTGGGAGGGTGGCTGTAGCTGCAGCCGCCGCCTCACGCTGCCTTCGCTCCCCGCCGCCGCCGCCTCACGCTGCCTTCGCTCCCCGCCGCCGCCGCCGAGCCCTGCGCGCTGCCCTCGCCGCCGCCGCCGCCCGCCTTTAAGGGCGCCGCTGCCGCCGCCCGCCCCGCTCCGCGCTGACGTGCGGGGCCGCTGCCCCCCGGGCTCGGCCTCGGCTGCCCGCCCGCGCTCGCACGCACGGTCCCTTCACACACACACACACGGTCCCCTCACACACGGGTATGGTCCATTCACACATGCACGGTCCTCTCATACAGACGTACAATCTCCTCACACACACACACACACGGTCCCCTCACACACGCGCGGTCTCCTCACACACGCACACACAGCACCACTCACGCGCATGGTCCCGTCCCAGACACACACGCACAGCACGTCTCACGTGCAAGGTCCCCTCACACACACACGCACGGACCCCTCACACACGCACAGCACTGGTCGCATACAGTCCCCTCACGTACACACACAATCCTCTCACACACGCACATACAGTCCTTTCACACACATGCAGTCCCCTCGCATACACACACACACACACACACAGTCCCCTCACACACACGGACACACCGACCCCCAGATGTGGAGGCTGTGGCACCCTGGGGCGTGCACAGCCCTGGGGCTCGCATGTGACAGGGGCACCTCAGAGGGACATGAGCCCATGACACCCTCAGGCAGACACGCGAGTCTGAGGCAGGTGGGCCTCTGGCACAGACCGACAGACAGGCAGACAGACGTGGAGCTGGGTCATGCAGGGCTGCATCACTGCAAGGCATGCTCACTCATGGGTCTGAGGCGTGGGGCTGTGTCACTCTGTCAGGGGCTGAGGCACAAGGCTGTGTGACAGTCATGGCACACGGGTCCAAGGCATGTGGCTGTCACGGCAGTCTGAGGCCTGTGGGGCTGTGTCATGGGGATGTACGGACGCATGCTGCACTGAGGTGCGTGACTGTCACTGTCACTGAGCTGTGACAGTGTGTGACTGTGAGGCACACACAGTGTTCTCAGGCACATGAGCCTGTGTCACTGACAGACAGACAGACACTGGCCTGAGGAACATGGGCTACTATCACTGCAAGACAGAGGTTGCTCTGAGGCATTTGGGACTGTTGCTGTTAGACATTTAGCTCTTGGAGAAGCCTGGCACATACACTCAGAGTATCCTGTGATATGCAACAGTCAGAGGGAGAGGGACAAGCACACAAGCTGCTCCGGCACACAGGGATCATGAGACACAAACATCCACCCGCTGGCCCAACAAACAGGCAAGGCTCGCTTCGAGTTTGACTGACGCACACCTTAGCCTAAAATACATATGACTGTTGTTACTGAACTGGTATTACCCTGTTGACAGGCACATACATAGTCTGTCCCATGGCCTGAGATACCCGAGACTATTTTGGCGAGGCACACATGCACACCCACACATGCACTCACACACTGACCTGAAAAAACACAGGGCCACCAGTACGAGACAGATAAACAAGCGAGGCATGTGGAGCTGTGTCACAGGGACCCACTTCTGTGGTGTGACAGGCGAACAGACCATGCCCGTCACCCATAACTCCTTCTCCATGCATGAGCCATATGTTATGCTTGGCTTTCTCTGCAACATGCACTCTGTAGCTCCAGGCATGTGGTACCATGTCCTTAAAAGCAGCAAGTTGAAATGTGTAAGGTTAACAGAGTAGTTTGAGGCACATTCACCTGTGTTAGTGTGAAGTGTGTATGTGCACATACATACCAGCGCATGCACACACACATGCACAGAAGCTAAACAGGAGAACATACCAGGTCACAGCTTCAGGCAGGGGGAACTGTACCAGCTGCTGCTTCCGCGCTCCTCCTGGCAATTGCATGTGTGTGATCCCTACCAAGAGAGCAAGGGACAGAAACTGAGCATTTTCCAGTGACACATTCCTTCTCTTACACTCTGGCTCAGATGAGACGCTGTGATATATATGAGATCACACAGACACGTGGCTTGTGCAGTGTTCAAAATGCAGAAGGGTGGTTCCACAATCCATTACTCTAGTATAAGGAAGAAAAAGATAGTACTGGACTACCCTAATGAACTCCTGAGAAATAAAAAAACCCAGCCCATTTCAGTCGTGCATATGTGTGCCCTGTATGTGCGCATGTAAACATCTACCCATGCCTGTACACATACATGTATGAATTTATGTGTGTGCATGTATAGAAATAGCATAGGACATAATCCAGACTCCAGGACCTTGTAGGGATTCATGGTGGCAAACAGCAAATACTTGCTTTACATAATTTCTAGCATTTGCAGTATTTCCTCTAAGAAAAGGAGGTAGAAAAGATTTAACACTCGCTATGCTCTGGCTGGGTATTTAGCATTGATCAGTGGAGGTGATAAATATGGAAGAGAAGACTGGAAGGGAACTTCCGATGTTTGAGCCTAGTTTCCTTGGCTTCTGCAGACAACAAAATCATACAACATAATGCTGTTCCTAATGAATAAGTTCCAGAGCTATTAGAAACCTCTGCTAATTTCAAGACTTCTGGCCAATTTATATCTATATGTTCTGTGCTGATGTTGTCATTTAATTTAAATACTTCTTCCTTTCCCTTTCCTGTGTGTTTATTTATAGAGGGAATTACATCCAGTCTCTGGCTTTGTTTTGCTCTGCAGAAAAAGACAAGATTTTTCACTCATCTCTAAACACAAACTCTCAAATTGCTGATCATTCTCACCTGCCTGCCCTGCACCTGTTCTGAATTTGGTTCATTTTTCTTGCATATGGGCAGCTAAAATAGTGCACGCCAAGTATCCTAGTACCTTCTATGTGGAGATTAATGTCTTCTCCTTTCAGATGGAGATATCTCACCTAAAACATTCCTGGACTTGCCAAGTTTCACATGCATGATGAAAGTCAGCTCCTTTCCCACACTTCACTGCACTGCTGGTATCTCACACACTGAAATACCGCTGCCACTTTCTGCCATTGGCACTTCACATGCACAGTTCAGCTACTTGGCATTTGATGTATATATTCACACCCAGATGCCACGTGCAATCTAACATGGACTGAAAGACAAGCCTCCAGCTTGGGTTTCAGAATTTTGCATTATAGAATTTTAACCTTTATTTTTATTTTTGACCATTACTTCAGTTGTAAGGATGTGTGGTGGATTGACCTTGGCTGGAGCCAATTGCCCACCGAGCCACTCCATCGCTCCTCTCCTCAGCAGAACAGGGGCAGAGAAAATAAGATGGGAAAAAACTCATGGGTCAAGATAAGGGCAGTTTACTAAAGCAAAAGCAAAATTCATGTGCATGTAAGCAAAGGAAAGAACCCAAAAGATTTAATTCTCTACTTCCCATCAGCAAGCAATATTGGACTATTTTGTGGGAAGCAGGGCTTCAGTATGTGTAGTGGTTGCCCTGGAAGACAAATGTAATAAATAATGAATGCTTCTCCTTTCTCTTAGCTTTGGCTGAGTAGAGCCTTTGATCAGTTTGGGTTGGGTATCCCAGTTATGACCCCTCCCAAGATCTTACCCACCCCCAGGCCTACTGGTGGAGGGGGGAATGTTGGAGAGACAACCTTGATGCTGTGCAAGCACTGCTCAGCAATAGCCAAAACACTGGTATGTTATCAACACCCTTCTAGCTACCAAGGCAAATTACAGCTCTAGGAGGGCTGGCATAGGCTTTGCTCTTTGGGCTTCTTGCCCTGGTACCAGCCAGTCTAGAGCTGCCCAACGTCAGACCACTGGAGCTTGAACTTGTTCTGTCTCACATGGGAACTCCCAGAGCTGTCCATGTTTCTCTTCCCAGCCATGCACTGACAGCTTTTGGATCTCATCTGAAAAATTTCTGCTCTGATCTGTCATCTCCTCGAACATATGCAGCCAGTCTGGTCCTGCTGTGCAACAGAAATTATTGTTAATGACTTCTCTTTACCTGATACCTTTAGCCTCCCTTGTAATTGCTCTCACCCCATACTCCGCACCACACTGAGTGCCTTAATGAAGTCCATGTCTACTGCATTTGGTCTATCTTGATAGTTGTCAAAGGGCACCAGTACCAGAGTAATCTGTTTTTATTTTTGCTTTTCCTTTCTGTACTCTATCCCAGTTTCATTCACCTCCAGGCTTTCATTTTATTTCAAATTTTCCTCTAAAGCTTCTCTCACTCTTCTGTCATGTTTCAGACTTTTTTGCTGCTTAGTAACAAAATAATTTTGTCCATAAAATAATAAAAGCTGTACCATCTCATTGTGGAATAAATATTTGTCAGGCATTATGTTTATGGTTGTTTTCACAATTTGAAAACAGTAGCCCCAAGGACAGCAAAATGTAGCAGTGGTGTCACTTAGTTCCCTTATTAATTCTCCTCTAATTCTCCTCAAAACTGATGACTTGTGAATCAGCCCCACACAGCTAGAATATAAAAATCGCCTTTGCTTCAAGAAATACATATTCCTGGTGCTGCCTCTCTGCAAAAGAAGCTGTTTACAGCTACATTTGAAGTCAGAGAGGATGCCAGAGTTTTATTTATTATTATATTTATGGCATTTAGTATTATCATTCCTGCATACTTGTTTTTTTTTTCTCTCTTTATGATACTCTACATCTCTTAGTATAGGAACTCAAATATTTTTCCAGAGTAATGTTATTGCTGTTCCTGCATTTGTTTGGGTTTTGGTTATGCTCTTGTTTTTTTAAAAGCAAATCATCCTGGCATGACCACTTATAAATTGTCCTACTTAAGGACAGACTGCAGTCTTTTTGACTGGATATGACAGAGTTTTCAGCTATTTGGTCTTTCTGGCTCTCAGCCACAAAGAATACATTCATAGCTTTCATATATCTTCAAAGTGACTGGCTTGATGGAAATTTATGCATGTTTTTGTGCAAAGAAAGGTGCATCCATTGTCATTCTGCGATGGCCAGAAACTCCAGTTGTATTTTCTTTCCAGGGCCATCAATGTCAAATATTCTATTTCT